ACTCCGCAAGCACGCCGACAATGCACTCGACGGCCTTCTTATCGAGGGGGTTCTGCGAGAGGTCGAGGAAGGTGAGGCTGTGGGCCTGGGGAAAGGAGGGGTTAGCAATTGGATTCGTATCGGGAACAAGGAGAGGATGGAGGAAAGAAGGAAGAAGTATGGATGAGGAAAAGGAGGTGGGAAGACTCGGAGAACAAAACGAGAAGGCGAGAATGAGGAAGAGGAATGAAGTCAGGCGTAAGAACGGCGATCCACCAGTGCACACAGCCACACGACACAAGCATGCAAAGCGAGACAGCATCAAGCCGACGCGACTCGACACCACATCTCCATGCATCACAACACGGCGGCACAGACTCAAAGCCGCGTCGCGGACGCAGCGTGTAGTCAAACGCCGCGTCGTTTGAAGTCCACGACTCGGTAAGTACGATCATGCAGAGACTCGGCCTTCCATGCAGAAGTCCTCATCGCGGACGAGACAGAGAGCTCTCGTCGGGTGTGCGCCGCCATCGACATGCACATGCACATCGACGCTCGACGTGCCCCAGAACGCAAGACGCTCCATGACGCTCGCACACACCTCCATACCTCGCGCACCCCGTGCACTTCGCAGTCCTCCACAGCCAGCACGCCGCTCCCGAAATCCGGTGAGAAGAGCGGGTGTGCTTTCCTCACAAGTGCGGATGTTATCTTGGAAGAGGGGATGTGCATCCTCGGTAGCACTCCAAACTTCGGTAGCCACCTTCCCTCCCTTCAACGAGCTCGCACCCACAGCCCATAACGATGTATCCTGCGGCTTAGGGAAGCAGACCACAGCGGGTACACCGACCCACATCCACACCCCACGCGGGTACGTGCGTGCGCATGCCCGTCTCGCGGCGTGCCTGCACTCTCCGCACGCAAAAAAAGGGGGAGTACCGGCGCGGCTGCCCGCCGTCGCGCCGCTCATCTCCCCTGGCCGCAGAAACACTCCGCCGCCCCTTCTCGGCCGACTCGCGATTTTCTTAAAAGAGTCTCGCGAGTTTTTCGAGCGATGTAAAGATCGAGGATGAAGAAAACAGACGAAACGCAAAGCACACCTTCCCGACATACGCCCCCACCAACTTCCACGCGGCGCCCTTCAGGCGGCGATTGGACGCGAGCGAGAGGTATGAGAGCGAGCGCGGGATGAGGAGCGCGTGGAGGATGGGTTTGAGGGTCTGTGGGTTGAGTCAGTATCGCGCAGGGTAAAGGGCCGAGTTTCATGGAGGGAAGGGGAGAAGGGTATTGCGTATAGGTGAAAGAAGGAGAGAACGAGACGAGCAAGTGGGATGAGGACAGGGTATGGAAAAAGGAGAAGTGTTGGCGGGTGGGTGTGGAGCGGGGAAGAAGGGGACGAGTAAGGTGGTGGAAGATAAAGCTTGTGTAGGAAAGGAAAGTGAGGAGGTCGTGTGCCAGGGCGGAATGTGGATAGACGGAAATTATAAATGTGAATGTGAATCGAATCGAGGGCGAAGCACATATGTAAAATGAAGGAACTCGAAGCGAAGCATCGACGGAAATGACAGGAAGCGTCGACGGAAGGAAGGAAGAACGAAGAATAGAAGGAAGGGAGAATTCTAATTAGTGGGTCGATTGAAGGCGTGAGCGGGGATGTCGAGTCGGAGAACATTGAGACGGTGTGAGGGAATGGGTTATGCGGGACAGAAGACGAGATGGAGGACGAAAACGGGATGGACGGATGCGAGGGATCTAACGATAATATAACGGAGGTCGGAAACCAATCTAACAGGAGCAGAAGCTCGCCAGCGCCGCCGAATCGGGAAAAAAATGACGGACACCGAAGAAAGGTGTCCGCCTCGAAAGAAAGCACAGCACTACACCAAAAAAAACAGCAGCGACAAGAAAACCGCCCAAAAACGCTCCCAAAAAAGCAAAGAATCGAAAAAAAAAAGAAAATAACGAAGGAACGCGCACTCACCCCCTCCTCCAAATCGCACTCCCGAAACACGGCCTTTCTGAGCCCCCACTCGATGCTGAGCACGTCCGCGAGCACGCCCGCGCTGCTGAACGTGAGCTGCACGCCGGAAAAGTCGACGGAGCGTGGGTGCGTCGGGGGAGTGCTCTGTGTGTGCGTTGTTAGTTTTTATTCCATACGAGATAGGATAGAGAAAGGGGAAAGTGGAAAGTGGAAAGAAAACATAAAAGGGAAGAGCGAGGAAAGAAAAGGCAGGGAAGAAAAATAAAGGAGGAAAGGTCGGAAAAGGAAAGAATAGACTCGTAAAAAAAGGTGAAGTAGGGAAGAACGAGATCGTGGGGCGAAAAAAAAGAATAGGATAAGCTGGAGTGTACACACACCTTGAACGCCTTCATGATCCCCTTATCCGGAGGTTCCTGGCATCCCTCGCAGCACTCGCGATAAAAACTCTCCACCTTGTCCATCGCCCACCACTCCGCCTCCTCCCCGCCCTCCTTCCCCGTACTTGTCGTCATCACGCTCGCCGCATCGCTCCCGACCACAGCGCCAGTGCCACCAGGCGTCGCCGGCCCCGACGACCCGGCATTCATGCTCCCAGCCCTGACAACCCTCCTCCTCCTCTCCCGTTCCCTTTCTTCAATCGCACGCTTCTCGTCCCGCAGCGCGGGCGTCGACGGCGGCGCAGCGCTCGAGATGGGGTAGACGACCGCGATCTCCGGGAGGATGAAGTGCGCGCGACGGAGCACGCGCGAGGCTTCGTCTGTCCCGTGTCCTCCTGGACTTCCACCGCCACTGCTACCTGCATTTCCTCCTACGCCTCCGCCAGTTCCACTTCCACCACCTCCCTGATGTGCGTTCTCGCCGGGCAGGAACCGGCTGAGCGACAGCCGCGAGAGGCCCGCAAAGAGGCCAGCCTGCACCGGGGGCGGCTTTTTGAGAATGCTCTTGCCCGGGATGGGGATGGTCACGGCGGACGACGACGGCGAGGGCGAGGACGGGCCCAGCGAGGGCGAGTGCAGGGACATGTGTATCTTGTGTATCTATCTTCCGTTCCTTCTTCCTCCTTTTCCAGCGCTCGATTGGTTTCGTTTTCTGCGCAGATAGTATCGAGATAGCCGCAGGTATCAGCCCAATATCGGCCTGCAAACGAGCTCCGAATCGCAGCGGGAGGTCAAGTTATCCAGCCAGGTATTCCGTCCGCTTCAGCAGCAGCAAGCGTCCGACGAGAGAAAAAAGCAGCAGGTGAGTCCACGGATAGCTGGAGTGCACTTTCTCGAATCCACTTTATCCAGGCGGTCGGCGGATTCAGAGGACCATTAAGGGTGCTGTGTTTGGCGCCGGCTTCGGTGGGAGGCTGGTGCCAAGCAATGATGCAACCCAATCGTGCCCAGGCACGCCACGTGTCGGTGTCTGGAGCGCATGGAATTCATGCGGTCGTTCGTTCGTTGCGCTTCGGCGTAGCAGGTCCGTTGCGAGAGGTTGGATATTCGTTCTCAAGGCAAGTCAGATTCAGTTTAACTGTTCTTCAGAGGAAAAGAAGGCAAATTCAGTGCTTTTCAGCTCACTGGGTCGCATTGCCAAACGTGGTCCTCTCTAGGGCTCTGTTTTTAATGCTGGTTTATAAACATTTTATAAACAGGTGTTTATAAACCGGTTTTTAAATGGTCAGCCCGAATGCCCTGTTTTTAATCCAACGTGGCAGTGCCCGGTGACAGCCGGGACGTCTGTCGGCAATCTGTCGGTTGGTTTTTTTTTGACAGAATAGAATTCCTTTGGGTATTTTCAAGCCTCAAAGTCCTTGGCATGAATTACAATCTTCTTAAACCAAGCTCAAAAGGGGTGCTCAATTCTTAATCCGAACTGCTCAGTTCGGATTTTAATTCAATATTTGTACAAACAAATAAATGTTCATCAAAGATGTTGCGGCTAATGGAGGTCTTTGATCTTGACAGTTCGCATTCCCGACGTCACCCAAGACTCCGTCGGGGTCGTCGTCGGGATCCCGCCCTCATCCAAATCACCCCGATATCCAAACAATATCGCTCATCGGTGCAGGTATCATGGCTAACAGCTGGGATTGATATGGTATGTCCAGTCAAGGTCACCATTATGATGCTTGGGAATACTCACATACCCGTCGTCGCTGTAGGCCACAGCGCCGACGGTTGAGTCGCGACATCAGTCTGCCGATTTGCTGCCGATGTCAAAAGATTTGTGTGGTTGATGGATGGTGTATTTGTTCGTACAAATATCGAATTAAAATCCGAACTGAGCAGTTCGGATTAAGAATTGAGCACCCCTAAACACATGTAATTTTGCCAAGTTGCAGGGATTGGAGACAGTATTGGGTTGAATTCGCAAAATCACCAGTTCCTGCCGGTCCCGGCGACATTAGGGTGAGAATGGAGATGGTGGGCATCAGACTTTTGACATTTCTATTGTGATCTTGTACAAGGCCAAACAAGGCCAAAAAGACGCAACAAACCCGCAAGCTCGCAACATCACAATATTTCAAAACAAGCTCACAAGATAAAATTCCCCCAAAAAAACTTTTTTTTTCCCAGCACTGCTGGGCTCTCACAGGCATTCCTGAGGGGTCTTTTTGTGTACAACTTTTTTTTTTGATCTTGTGAGGTTGTCGACAAGCTCACAACCCCAAACAAGCCGTACAAGATCACAATAGAAATGTCAAAAGGCTGATGGGAGAAGCCAGGGAACCAGGAGAGCTAAAATTCCTCTACAGCATGCTTTTCTTGCAATTCTCGGCTAATTTGGTGCAGTGTTTATAAACACGTTTATAAACGCTGGTTTATAAACTGAAAATTATAAACTGTTTATAAATGGCTGGGGAATTATAAACAGAGCCCTAGTCCTCTCGTAGTATACTAATTCATTGCAATTGAATCACCCACGTTTGTAAAAGCCTCTGTGGATTAGTGGTTGAGTTACTCTCCCACCTACTTCTCATGCTATTTTGTCAAAATGAATATAGAGTCAAAGCAACCCTACCCTACCTGGTCCTTTATGCAAAATAAACCATCAAGCTTCCGTGGATTAGTGGTTATATCGTCTCCTTCATTTGAAACTTTCCGCAATCACTTATGGAGGAATCGCGAGGTCGATCCTCACCGGAAGCATGCCCACTTTATGTTTTTCTGCTTCTTTCCATCTTGTGAACCCTCAGACACTCCTTAGACTCTTTCTGAATCCTTCAACACATCTTCCTACACCCCGAGTACTGTACTATTTCGACTGTTCCTTCACTATTTTTAGATTTCAATGGTTGACCAAAGAGACCAATACATTTCTTTTTGAATAAGGTGTTTTTTGAGCACGTCATACACATTGAACAACCTATATTCAACACATGTATGTATTGAGGACGGTCAGAATAGACAAAAATCGGTGGGTTCTGGGGTTGGTTCTCGAGTGGGTTCTGAAATTATTTTGCATCAGAATAGTGAGAGGAACCTGATTCTACTCTGACCGACCCACTTTTGAAAAGTGGTTCTGAGTGGTTCCCGGTCATTTAGTGTTTCGAGAACCGGTGATACGCCGTACTCTGTACAAGCTTGAAATCATTCATTTTCGCGATCCTTACAAGTCTGTTAAAGCTTGCTAAGGACATAGTAAATACTAGAGGATGCTAGTCTTGAAGCCTGGGACGGAGCATTAAAGTCCCGAGATGTGTTGATTCAGTTAAACAAGAGCCGGAGCAGTAGAGTAATCTCCAACGGTACCTCCAAACTGGGGCCGGAGAAGGTAACTTGAAACGAAAGGGCCAAAGCTGAGGTTAAGGACTCACCCGGCAAGGAGCATCTGAACACGGTGCTACAAGCTCGGTGTCAATACCAGCACTAGGATAAATACCAAAGGCCAATGGAAGGAACTAAGAGACAAAACTAAGAGAAAGGCTATGCATACGCGCCTGGTTGGGATTACAAGCACAAGGCACGCAGATCTCGAGTTGAATAACGGCCATGTGACTAAGTCGCGTCGCGACGCGACGCGCTCATAAGGATCAGTCAGGTGGACATAAGAAGCTTACTAAAAACAAGAGAGCTCTGTAATACGGACAAGGAACAACCGAGGCTCAACCTAGCATTGGAATGGCTGAGGAGGGGAGAAGCACTTGGGTCGATGCTTCTTGTGGACAACAGGACATCTGAACACTGACCAATCTGTCTAAATGGCGGACACACACTCGCTTCAATGTAAACTTATTAATCCGCTCGTTCATCCGTTTGTAATCTTAGAAAACCAAGTAGCAGTAGTATATAAAGCTCCTTCAAATGTAGTAGACAGATCAGTGAAGCCCCCGTTATTTGGCACGACTAGTGGATATCAGCTTAAGAGTGCAGCCTAAACAGCTGACTTTTGAGACGCCTCTCGTCAAAGTCTTGTAAACTCAGCCTTACTCGGATACAAGGGTTCCAGTAGCTCCGGGTCTTCGGCTCGTTACGCATCTATACTGCAATTAGGTGTTGGATTTCTGTTAGATTGAATAGATTGGATTTTCGAGACCTCTTTAAAACAAGGATTACCTTTTACTTGAGAACAACTTGCATTGGATTATAGCCTTTGAAGTGGTTGGGACTAGTACCTTCCTTTGAAGCACTAGGGGCCATCTATCAGTAATTGGGAAACAAACTTAAAGAACTTAGAAACCTTTTCTGGCCGTCTGTGGATTCCCACCTTAAAGCACATTGTAAAACGGCGCGCATCGAGAAACCCTACCCTTCTCATTATTGAGTTGGAGTTTTTAGCAGTTACCTTTTGGCAGTCCCAAACCTATCAAACTTGTGGAAACCTACCTTTGAATTGAAATTGACGGTCGATACGTGACCCACCCCCCCCTCGAACACACACGAAGTATTGAGTAGTTGTTAGTTGTTGAGTTTGGTGTTGGTTTTTGAGTAGACTTTGTCTCTCATTAGTTGGCATTAGATTTCACAGCTGCACGTCAGTGCACCGTTTCACCGGAACCGCCCTCAGAAATGACTTGTAGACCCTCCTCCAGAGTTTCTCGGTTTTTGTTAGCTTTTTGTGACTCTGTTAAGATTTACTGACTTTCTTCAGAACCGGTCTCGAAACCCACCAGAACCGACCAGAACCACCTTACTAGAACCCACTTGATTTAATTGATTTAATTATTTGAGAACCATCCTGCAGGACCCACTTCCAGAATCGCCCGGAACCTCCTACTTAGTGTTGTTCTGGCTTGGCTTGGCCCGGAAACCATGGCTTTGGCTTAGTTTTGTCTGGCTCAGGCTTCAGAAATCCCAAGCCAGAGCCAAAGCCAGAAATCCTGGCCTGGCTTGGTTTGGCTCTGGCTTGAGCCATGGCTTCAGTTCGGAAGTGCGGGACCATTCACTACTACTCTGTGGATCTGTAAAACTATCTGTGAGTGATTATCTAGAACAACAGCATCCTAAACTAACCAAATGTTGAAGATTTTGGCCTTCGTTCAAGATTCCAACCGTCTTTGTCCAAATTGAGATGTCCCGATTTGGTCATGCTGACCACAAGTGGAAAGAATTGAACACAAATGGGTGAGTTTTTCAGTATATGAGTGCTTGAATCGATGCATCACGCCTAGGTTCCCAAATATATGACACAGTTGAGTTTTTAATGACTGATTTGACTGCCACACTTCAGCAGGTTCAAGCCATGGCTTCATGGCCTGGCTTTGCTTCAGAAATCCGAAGCCAGAAGCCAAAGCCAGCCGAAGCCAGATGGCTGGCTTGGTTTGGTTTCTCAAACCATGGCTTGGCTTGGCCTGGCTTCTGGCTTGAAGCCAAAGCCAGCACATCACAACTCCTACTCTGACCGTCCCTATTCAAGCTTCACACTCCATATGCACTCATGCCTCTGTAGATTAGTGGTTAGATCATCTCCTCATGAATTTAAATGTTATGGAGAACCCTTTGGTTCGACTCCTAGCAGAGGTATAGGGGTGCTCAATTCTTAATCCGGTTCAGTTTGGATTTTAATTCAATATTTGTATGCACAAATAAATGTACATCAAAGATGTTCCGGGCACCAATTCTGCCTTCACAGATTCTCCAATTCAATGTCTTTAGAGCCGTAATTGGTCTAGGTCCTCTGCAAGTCAATTTCAACACAAGTTCATCAACATACCAAATTAGTTGTGGGGGAAGGGCAATCTCTAGATTCTAGCCAGTTCCAAAGGGTAGTTGATGATGGTCAATCACTACACCGTAGGGACTGGAACATGACCTAACATAACTACCAGCCGCTTGGTGATGCAAAAATTACTGATCTGAATCAAATGACTTGGCCAAAATTTTGGCAAGGGTCAGGAAAAAGTTTTCCATTGCTCATATTTGTGGAGGCCATTTGGTAATGAGCTGCTTTCAAGAGTCATGATGTTCTTAGATTTTTTATTCCTCCAGAGGCTGGTGCAGTATGTATTTATTTCACACCTGCCAAGAACCAGCAAGGTCATACCAAAAGCATGTGTCTTGCTCAGCTTGAGGATGTAGCAAGTAAATTTGCCGTAGGAAGTTGCCTTCAGCCTGTATTCCAAAATGAATAACATCACAAGTCTTAGAAATTTTATTGCTATTGAACGGTCTACTCAGATCTGTGAAAGAGGACAAATTTTTCTGGTACCACCACAAAATTTTGGCATACTCTCGCCAATTTCTGCATCACCAACCGGCCGGCAATTATGTTCCAGTCGTTATTCAGTTGTTTTGTTGATAAACTATCATCAATATTGTATCAATGACTGGTTTGAGTGTAGGCAATCTTCTGTGGATCATCATCTTCTCCTGTTACATTTGACCTAGGTAAACTTATGGAGAAAGTGTAGGTTTGATTCTGGCCAGAAGCATGCCTTGTAGTACTGTGCCTTTTTCATTCGTGAGCGTCTGATCCATGGGAAGGCTGGGTCGGGTCAGGCCCGACCAGACCCGACCCGGCCAGCACGTGCACAAGAATGCTGGAGGTAAGTAGTTTTTTTTTCAATACTCCTGCAGTATTCCTGTCATGAAGCATGGACTCTGGGTTATGGCACACATACAATGTGTATCTGACCTCATTTTCTCTATCAACACTAAGAAATGTGACCCCCAGGCAAGCAAACAAACTAGCAGCCAACAGAAAGTAGTATCTTGCTCAATGCATGCTGGGTAATACTTAGCTATAACACAAGCAGCGTGATTTTAGGAGTTTAGAACCTATTGCTTCCATCATTTGTGAACCCTCAGGGTTTACTTTACTGCTACTAGGGTATGTAGCTGAATCACACCTCCAAATAACAGTACAGTAGTTCAATAAAGAGATGCATACATTCCCAAGATACAGCTGCAGCAGACTGCATTGAATTCAACACCACCAGCTTACGAGTCCTTTACTTATAAAAGGAGTCGTTCTTGTAAGCGGCTCGTCCGCAAGAATTTTCGTAACTTTAAGACTGATTAGCTTCTCGTTATTATTGTTTGTAGTGTCTTTTGATGCACATGCTCTTGTTTTTCAGCACCAGGGAAAAGCTCCCATCATTTCAGACTGATCTCTTCTCCCTCACGTGCTCTCTCGCCCATGGAAAATGTCCCATCAGATTCATTTCAGCTTGATTTCTTCGACATCACGTGTTCATTTCGATTTACTGGCTCAACCAGACCTTCACTCTTTTACAAAGGGTCTCTGAGACCACATTGCATGTACACCCTATGACAGAGACTCAGAGAATCCTCTCGTTTATTACGCTCTCACGGGGTATCCAATCTTGCATCAACTTGAAGTAGAATTGATTTGAACTTAATTTTGCTTTACTAAATATTTCGTCCTTGTTTATGGTATTGAGTATCTGAGGAAACAAAAGTCATAGATACATGGTAGATCACACTCGCTGACCCCTGCCGTGAGGAGCGGCAGGCTCCCAAACCTTCGCTCGGATCACTGGATCGATCAACACAGTTCAAGATTCAGAAGCCGAATTTGGCTTTACCGAATACATTCATGGTCTTGAGTACTTATCTGATCTGAGGAAATAAAAGTCATGGTAAATCACACTCGCCGATCCCGCCGTGAGGAGTGACCAAAGGCCGGCGACGAGCGGTGGTCTCCCAATCAGATCACTTGAATCGACTGGAGCAATCAACGGAGTTCAAAATTCAGAAGCCGGACTCGTACTGCCATGCGAAGTCATTGGCCTCATCAACACGTATGTTGTTATAAACAACTGAGGCTAACAGTGCCGGAAATGAAACATGGAAGTAACTTGGTTTTCGTTTACTTCCAAGTCAGTGTCCGTCCGGAATCAACAGACTGTGTATTTGTGTGGATTTACCAACATGAAGAGTAGATGCACAAGTGCCTTGTGCACCCGAACTTTACCGCAAAATGTGTGAATGTATGTGTTGTTTGCTTGTATTAGTGTGGCAGTCGGGTCGGGTCGCACCACGTGCGGGTCGGGTCGGGTCGGGCCAGACCAGACCTTCCTGTGGATCCGACATTTTGTTTCTTCCAGTCTTCTTCTTCTTTTCTTCCTTTTCTATCTGACCCTTTGTACGAATTCCCTTTTTACAACCCGATGTTGGGGTGGGTTTTGCAAGGTGTTGGAAAACTTGTGCCCCAGGATTTTATCCTTTTCTTCTTGACTTGAAGTTAGTTAGTATCTTTTGGAAGTGTCCCTCTTCTATGGCATCCATCAGGAAGATGTGGGTTCAAATCCCTCTTCAGGCATATTTTTCTGTATATTATTGTGTGTGGCACATGCCTCCTGTGGCATCCTAAATGAATCCCAATAGTGTATTTATCTTTTTAAATCAACTAAGCTTATATCATCAGATCAATCATAACAGAAAGAATAATTGATTCAGACAGCAGTAAGTACACTGTATACATAAACAGATTATACTAAGAAAATATCAATCCAATTCCTGCATATAGCATCAGTCCAGAAAAGAATCTCCTATGCCTTGTTGTACAAAGTTTCAAGTCTTGTTTTGACTAGGTAAACCTGTTTTCTCTGTGATGATCGTTCAAACAAGGACTGAGCTTCCCTCCACATTTCTACTGCTTTAGTGAAATCACTGTTCTGCTTGGCAATATTTCCGAGCTGTAGCATGCATTCGGCTCTGCTACAATGAACATCCATAGCAGTGAATCCTTCCAATGCTACAAGAAACAGATTTTGTGCTGTCTGTTCCTCTCCATCCAAAAGGTATAGATCTCCCAGAAAGCCGATAGCTTTGTGTAATGTCAGTTTTTCCTGTGTTTTGTGTGCAAAGAGCATATATATGATTGCCCATGTTAATGTCTGATCATGGTCGGCCTCCTCCCACCGATTGATATTAGCCAGTCTTTCAAGGCAATATGCAACAATTTGAGTTTGTTTCCCCCAACTTGACTTGAGACAATTCAAGAAAGAAGTCTTGGCAGCCAACATATTACCCTCTCTCAGATTGAGGTCTGCCAAAATTGTATCACAGAGTTTGAGAACAGTGGTGTACTCCAGGCTGGCGAATATATTTCTTGCTTTATCGAGATTTTGGTGTACCTCATGCTCAGGCTCATCCATGATCACATCAATCTCCGCAATATTAAGCAGTGCAAATGCGTATGTGAATGGATCATGTTCCACTGAAAGATTGTGAACAGCCTCTGTATGAATCCTTTTGGCTTCAGCATATTCTGATTTCTGGAGATGGATCTCTGCCTCGTTGATCAAGATGTTTTGATCTATAGCCCCTCCAGTCATGCCACACAGTGCCAGAAGCTTCCTTGCTTTATGACCAAAAATGATGCTTTGTTTGTAGTTGCTCATGGCCTGACAGCACATAGCTTCAATCCACAGCACCCTTGCCTCTTGGTACATGTCTGCTGATAAAATGGCCAATCTTTGAGCCTCAAATGCTTTCTGAAGTGCTATTTCATGCTCTCCCAATCTGTACTTGATATGAGCAATGTCCATCATCACCATAGATTGTTGGGTGAGATCAGCACATGACTGTGCAATTGTCTGACTGCATAAACATAAATTTTTAGAAAAGAAGTTGAATGAGAAAAATAGTTTCAACTTACACTCAAGTATGGGATCATACAAGTGACTGAGATATGATATAGCTTGAGAAATGAGTTGCTCTGGACTGGAAATGGGGTGCCAAGCCCTTGATAGGAAAATCTCGGTAATGAACAAAACCTCCAGTCTGTAGTTGCTGAGTTGAACAAGAAGAGCAGGAATCTGATCCATCAAGACGAGGGGGCCCTTCCCAGTCGTGCGGTTGAAAGAGTTGTAGCATAACAAACAGTCAATGGTGCCTACAACATCTGAGCCAGCTGGATTCAATTCAAGGGAAAGAATTCGCTGCAAATTACCAATATTCAGCTGCATATGATCGACTAGGCTTTTCAGCTGCAATCCATCATGTTTCTGAAACACTGCAAGAAGAGAGTGGAAGTATTTACAAAGGTTGTGAACCAAATTGGAGCTAGGTGGATATTTGTGTTGTACATGTTCCCGAATGGGTGCCAGTGATTTCAACCGGTTCTTATCATCACAATAGGCCAAGGAGGTCCGTAGCAGGGTTGCCTTCGATGTCAGAATATTTTGTATCGGAAGATTGCTTTGAAGTAGCTCAGCATCTGAGATTCCATCAGGAAGGATGGAAAGTAGACCCAGTAATTCTTTTGCACTAGGTGAGGAGCATGCGGGGGCTGGATAAGGAAATCGTAATGGATGTGTCAAGATTTGATTGCTTGTTATAACCATCTGAAAGAAGGGATGTCTTCTCTTTTTCCCAGCGGCTCAAGATACTAGAACAACCTTCATAATCAACCAAATGAGCCATAAGATTAACTGCTAAAGGCATGTTCTCTGTCAGGTGTAGAAGCTGAGTGATGGTCTTGGTTTCATGGAAGTCCTCTGCAATGTCAATAAAAGTCTGCCGAGCAGCAATATCTGATAAGGGCCCAAGAGGCA